TCACATGGACTTGGTTCACCCCAGGGTCTTGAAAATAGGAGGTGGGATGACTCTTCTCCATTTCATAGATGGAAAAGCAGAGCAGTAGAACATGGAGCACTGTTCTTAACGCTTCTGTGTCCTCACTCAGTCCTCACGGCAACTCTGTGACGTAGGTCCTAGTACAGCTGTTACGTTTACGCAGGAAGCAGCTGAGGCGTGGCGGGTCAACCAGCCAGTGAGTGGCGGAGGGGGCCAGAAGTGGGATTCCAACCTGCGTAGCCCAACCCCACAACTCCTCGCTTACTTCTGAGCTCCAGAGCTGGGCCTCAGCATCAGAGAGATCTGGATTCTGCTCCTGAGTTTCCTCATCTGTGGAATGAGGATAAAAGTACCTCCCTCACAGGGCTCTTATGCTCCCATTTCAGTGATGTTACGTGAATACAGCTCTCACAGCAGTGCTGGATGCGTGCTAAGTGCTCCACACATTTCAGCATCTGTGTTGTCATGAGGACCTGGGTATCCTGGGGTCTGCACGCACTTTAGAGCCAGACAGACCTGGGTGCTCCTCCCGGCTCTGCACATAGACAGGCTTTGTGACTGCAGGAAAGTCATTTAACCTCTCTGAGTCATATTCTTCATCTGTAAAGTGGGGATAAACAATTCTTACCTCACAGGCTGCTGTGACTCTTCAGTGAGATAATACATGTGTCCGACACATAAGGACTTTATAATGAAGTTTGGCTATCATTATCAGTATTATTTCCCCAAGGTGCCCTGGAAATTAGTGATTTTAAGTCAAGACTTACTCCACTTTGGCTCCTAGAGAACAGAAACACTGGAAGTCCTTGCTTTAGTCAGGACCCCCAGGTTTGGAAAGGGCCTGCTGAGCTGATGTCTCTCCATGCTTTCCTTCCTCAGAGCACCCAGGATGGGCACCCCAGCCTCTGTGGTGAGTGAACCGCCCCCTTGGCAGGCCCCGACTGAGGCACGGGGCCGCAAGCAGGCCTCAGCCAACATCTTCCAGGACGCCGAGCTGCTGCAGATCCAGGGCCTGTTTCAGCGCAGTGGGGACCAACTGGCCGAGGAACGGGCACAGATCATCTGGGAGTGTGCGGGGGACCACCGTGTGGCGGAGGCCTTGAGGAGGCTGCGTAGGAAGAGGCCCCCAAGGCAGAAACCCCTGGGCCTCTCACTACACCACTGCAGCCGGCTCAGGTAGGTTCCAGGACTGAAGGGCTGAGGGAAGAAGAGCACAATGATGCCTGTTCCACCACTTTCTGGCTGTGTGACCTGGAGCTACTGTAAAGTTCCTACCATTGGGGTTGTTGTAAGGTCTACACACTGCCTACCACGTGGTTGGCACTTAAAAGATGGCTGTTACTTCTGCAGTCATATATGACCCTGTGAACTCCCCTGGGAGGAGGTGCCTGCGGCCTTTCAGTGCCACTTCATTTTGCAGCCAGGTGGGACAGACTATTGTTTGGGAAAAGAAAAAATTTTACCTGTTGTAGAACAGGTACCATTCAAAAGTAAGCCTGGTTAAAATCCTGGCTGTGGGATTACAGAGAATATAGCACAGGAGAGTACTGTAGAGGCATCAAGGGTTAAAAATTGTTGAGAAACTTTAAACTTTCCCTAGTCACCCCCCTCTTTGCTTAGGTCCCTGACAGCCAGGAACAGTGAGCCCGAGAAGGAGCTGAACCACATGGCCTAAACCAGCCACTGCTGGCTACACTCTGGGCTCCATTCCTCCGGCTGCCTTCTCTGGGCCCACAATTAGACCTCAACAGGCCTCTGAGATCATCAGGTCCAGGGGTAGCAAATCAGCGTCACTGCTCATAGTAACTCCAATTGATTAGTAATCCCTGCTTAAAACACCTTGCTGAGGACACTTGGTTCCTCCAGTCTCATGTCATGACTGATGAATGATGTCTGCTGTGAGTACAGGATGAGGAAGATGGAGAAATGTTGAGTGTCACACACTCTGATCTCGTCTAACTCTCTTTACAGAAGAGAAATCAGAAAGCTTTGCCAAGTCACATAGCTCTCTCAGAGAGCAGAGACGAGACCAGAGCCCTGGTCTCCTTCTGCCCCAGTGTTTTAATAGTTCACTATGACCAAAATCTCTGTAGTCCCCATTCTGTCCTTCCTGTTGATGTTGTCCTATCACACACTTGTTCCCTGCAGAATCCCAGAGCCCCAAGCTCCACTGGCTGACCCACAGAGCAGTGCCACGGAGATGGCTTCCGGTGATCAGTATCTGAACTCTAGGAGGACAAGTACCCGGATCCGACGGAACTGGAGGAAGCCAGGCACCACAAGCTACCTCCATCAGATCAGACACTGATCCAGAGAAGGGGCTGGAACAGCAGTATCTTCCCCAGGAATCATAGGGACTTTTGCCAAAAGACCTGGGGGAGGGGAAGAAGGGAGAGAGACTAAGGCAGACAGCCCCACACGGGTTAACGAAAGACTGCTGCCACTGGCCTGCTCAAATCAGAACAGGACTGGAGGCGTCCACTGAGCTCTACACTATGTGGGACCCGTTCGTCCCCAGAATGAGGAGAAATGGTGATGTTCCTGCCTTGGCCCTTCCCCACCTGACACTATACCCGGGCTGCATGATATTCCCCTAGGAGTCGAGTGACAGGCACTCAGACTACATCTCACCACTCCTGCTCCTAAGCCCCCTGCTACTATGTAACCTGTGGTCTAGCAGCCTGTCCCACACCCCTGCCAGGCCAGCACAAAGAAACTGTGGTTTAAGTAGCAAAATAAAAACAATTGCAACAAGAACTGTGTGAGTGCGTCACAGAAGGGAAGGACCTGGAAATGGATACTCTGGAGCCAGGGGGTGAGGTGTTGGGCTCATTGCAGGGAAGGGGCATTCCCAAGGAGAAAAGAAGGCTGGCCTCCTTTGCTTTCTCACTCCCTATCCTGTAGAACCCCTTTGCCAAAGCCTCCTTTTCCAAAGTCTGTCAGATGGGAGATGGAAGCAACTGTAGGCAGTCCTGATCCACAGGCGAGGTGAGAGGCTTCTTGGCCTCTGGCCAGCTCTAGCAGGGAGAAGGCTATTATGGTCAGCCCTGCATGGTGGGCAGTGGGTCTGCAGTCAAAGTAGTGGGTGCCAGTTCCTCAGCTGGCCTCTTCAGCCCTATGGGCCAGCCATCCTGAGGTGGGTCAACAGCTGGACCAACCATCTTGAGCTCCCCGCATCATCCAAAGTTTCCTGTAGCCTGAAAACACTTGAGGTGAGGATTTTTGACTACTCTTCTGGCTTTGCTCCCCACCCCACCCATCCTACCCGCTTGCTTATCCATCACTTAAAGGAGCCAGTGTTCAAAGGGCTCCCAGGGGGCAGTGATGCACACACAGAGCAGGGCTGCCCTCTCGTGGCCAAGAAGAGAAGCTGGTTCACACTCCTTATCCCAATCCTTGGGGCTAGAGGATTTTGGAATTCAAAATTTTTTCGGCTTTTGGGAAGTAGTCAGTGCAAATACTGTATAATTCCTAGTAGAGGAACATCTCATAACAAAATATTAATATTTCTGCAACAAATATGCACACTTAGAGGGACACATGATGATTACAAATAGCTTCACATCACTGTAAGTTCAGGTCAGATTTTGGGGTCAATGAGTTATGAAAATACTTTTGGTTTTCAGAGCATTGGGACGCTGGAAATGAGGACCTGTGTTTTCCTCTGCTAGAGGAATACAGACTCAGGAGCCGTATCTCAGCAACTCCATGGAAACAGGGTTCTGTGTCCTTAAAATCGCATTCTACCTTGTCTTCAAAGAAAACTAGACAAAAAAGGTCAGAACTGGACTTGTTATTCATACATTTGCATTGATTTAAATACATTACATACAATTTCTACAGTGCATTAGAAGAACAATACAGAGGCAGCAGCACTCTCCAGCCCAGCCTCTACTCCCTGACACCGGGGGACAGGGCCTATGGCTGGCAGAGGGCCGGGCCATTCTGTGAGTGCCACCCAGAAACCGGCCCTGGCACTCTGGGCCCCTGGCTCTCCCAAAGACCACATTCAAGGCAACCTGAGTACAGGCTTCAAGGAGAACGGAGCTAGGCCAGGAAAGAACGGCCCGCACTCGTTTGCCTTCCAGGACTGGGACCAGCTCCCTCTTCTGTTGGACCCAACTTCCTTCTGAGCACAGAGCTGGTCTGGACGAGGGCAATGTGCAGATCTGCTTGGCTAGGGGAAGCAACCACGCTCCTCTTGAGACTGCTTAGCTTCTCTTGACACCCAGGTGGGGAGATTTATCAACATACTTGAGTAAAGATGTCTATGGAAAGCTAAACACACCTGGGTCCCCTTCTGACCTCCGGGAGCCCTGCTGCTCCTGCAGTCTAGGGGCAGGCATCCTCACAAACATGGCCCCCCAAGGCCAGAGTCCAGTTCAGCTGAATGGGATTGTCAGAGTTGGGGCCAGCGGGGGAGCTGTGCCTTCATCCAGAGGGCACGCATCTCCAGCTCCCAGCGACTCTTCCTGTCAGCTGTGGAAGCCCAGGACAAGCCGGCTCCTGGGGGCTGGAATGGAAGGTGACCAGCCTGGCCCAGCTCATGAGAGGGCTGCACATCTCCACTCCGCCTCCTGGATGGCAGGAGCTGGGCAAGCAGAGGGCACACAGCCATAGTCTTTGCTCCCTTTCTTTGGTTGTGTTTCAAATTTTCAAAATAGTTTCTTCCCAAGGCTGACTGACCAATCGCAGGGTGCCAGCAACCTGAAGTGTCCAGTAGCATAGGGCTGCCCTGTAGCCACAGAAGGCACCCTCCTTACTCCCTCCTGAGGCCGTTCTTTGCTTTGGTGTAGAAAGGGCTCGGACACCCGGCAAGGGGGACAGCTGAGGGAAGAGAGACATGGAAGCAGGAAGATGCACACTGAGCTGGGCAGGCATTGGGGGACAGTTTGAAGGCCTCTCTCCTTTGGGCCCCACCTTTCTCAAGAAGCCATGGAACAAGTGGCCTAGAACAAGAAGTCAGGGAGCAAAGGGAAGCTGCCAGTTAGGAGGCAGAATACAAGTCCTGTCACCTCCACCAAGCAGCAGGGTAGCATAAAAAGAAGTCTAAGGACCTAATATCCTGTCCTCTTATGAGCTGAGACCCACCCCCAGAACCCAGAACTGAACCGCTAAGTCAAAAGAGTTGAGAAAAAGTATCTAAAACAACAGAAACAAATCAGAGGACTGGCAGAGTTTCTCACCTTTGGCTAGGGCCAAGGACTCAGGAAGCAAGGCTGGAATAAGTTTACCCATAGACCAGTTACAGCTCCCAGCATACACCTGGGCCGTGTGGATCACTTTTACCTGCGGGGGAGTCAACTTCCTCCCTCCTGCCTTGTCTGAGCGACAGGCAAGCAGCAGGCCTGCACCAGAGAGGCGGGTCCCTAGCAGGGCAGAGAGAGGAGCCGATGCGATCATATGCGGAGAGGTCTAGAACACAAGTATCCTGCCACGAGAATTGCGTTTGCAGGCTCTCAGCCAGCCTACCACACTGGTGGGAGGGGAAGGAGACTTGGCAAAAACCCAAAGTAGGTGTGACTTCTGTCTGTCCCAGCACTGTGAGTCACCCAGCTGCCTTGGTCCATGGGAGTAAGGAACTGCGAGGCACCTGACTGTTTGGACCATGCAAATATAGGTCTGAATTAGAGGTTTCTTTTTCTTTTTTTTTTTTGTGAGGAAGATCAGCCCTGTGCTAACATCTGCCAATCCTTTTTTTTTTTTTTTTTGCTGAGGAAGATTGGCCCTGGGCTAACATCCGTGCCCATCTTCCTCCACTTTATATGGGACGCCGCCACAGCATGGCTTGCCAAGCAGTGCGTCGGTGTGCGCCCGGGATCCGAACTGGCAAACCCCGGGCCGCCGCAGCAGAGCGCGTGCACTTAACCGCTTGCGCGACCAGGACGGCCCTGGATTAGAGGTTTCTGACATGAGAGGATCTGGGATTCTGCCTGTGTTCGCCACTAGTATTTAAATTTGTTTTTGTTGTTTGTTTGCTTTTCTGATGCAGAATATAATGAAGAATTGAAACAGAGCAGGGTGTCAGGGAGGGAGGGGAATTTCCCAGCCTGTCCCCAGGAGACGTTGGAAGGGAGATGCTCCTTTCCTGGCATCTGAACTACTTGCATGGAGTTCCAGCACTCAGAAGTGCCCCAACAGCACTGACTGTCCCTCTGATTGTGCTTCTCCCTGTGCTTGGGAAAGCCCTGAGTGGGGTGATGAGCAGACAGGGAGAGCTCTTAAGGGCACTGTTCTCCACTGGCTTCTCTGGCTTTTCCTGCAACCCACTCCCCAGGCTTCCTCCCAGCCCAAGTCTCAGACAATATGCCTTTGTCTGCCTCTCAGGCTACCACCACGAAAAGAAGGGCTTCCGACTCTGAAAGCTCTGTGTGTAGGAATCGCTAGCGGACCGCTGGTGGGAACGGGCCGTCTCGACAATCACAGGCGGCATCTGGACGAGGTGCAGGGGACTCTTGTTGTCTTTCAGGGCCTGGCTCAGATTTAGGATCTGCAAGGGGAAAAATGAGATCAGCGAGGGAAAGGCCTGGGTCTGACTCTGAAGGGAGTACTGGCAGATAGAGTGCTCCTATAGATCAATAAAAAATAAACCACCCACCAATGGAAAATCGTACAAATAGGCTATGCACAAAAGCAGGAATATAAATGGGTAATAAACAGAAAATGGAAACCTCTCTAGTCATTTAAAAAATACAAATTAAAATAAGTACCTCCCATTTTTTGCCCTTCCTGTTAGTAAAGATACAGAAGACGACGACAACTCAGAGTTGGGAGAGTTCTGAGACATGGCTGTGGGGCTGGATCATGGGACAGTCTTTCAGAAAGGCCAGTGGACAATAAAGGCTTAACAGTGAACAGGCCCTCTGACTCAGCAATTTCATTTTTAAGGACTAAGGCAACAATCATGGATAGGCACAGAACACTTAGTTTCAACCAATACAGTGCAGTATTGTTTATAACAGTGAAAATTATATAGATGCCCAAGAGTATGGGATCAGTTAATATTAAGGGATAAGAAATGAGCAATTAAAAATATATATTTTATTGGTATGGAAAGCTGATCACAATGTTGTTAGATAGAAAAGAAAAGAGATAAGGAACCAGTAGTATTATAATGTGACCCCACCTTTATTTTCTAAAATTCTATCTTCCTATTTGCGGAGAAAGAAAGCCTGGCAATTGGCAATGGTTATCTCTGGGTCACCGAATTACAGCTGATTTTTTTGTTTACTGTTGTTTATGCTTATTTTCTGATTTTCCTACAAAGACCATGTATTAAAAAAAGCGAACATTTCAGTTGGATTCTCCCTCCAATGCTGTCTCTTCGTCATCTTTTTTCTTAAATAAAATTTTTGCTTCGGAATAATTTTAGATTTACGGAAAAGTTGCAAAGATAGTACAGAGAGTTCCTGTATACCATTTACCCAGTTACTCCTAATTTTAACAACTTACATAACCATGGTATGGTATATTTGCCAAAACTAGGAAATTAACATTGGAACATTACTATTACCCAAACTCCAGACTTAATTCGGATTTCATTAGCTTTTCCAGTACTGTTCTTCTGTTCCATCCAGGATACCGCACTGCATTAGCTCCTTACCAACTTTTGTCTGTATTTTACAGATATTTCAGATATGTGTCCATGGGGACACATTTTCTCCCCTTTGTCAAAATTAGAATCACCACCATTTATCTTTTCTGGTAGGATAGTACAAAAGCTGAAGTTGTCCTAGGATAGCCTTCTTTAAACCACTAGATGTTCAAGATTTTCACGGCCAGACCACAGACACATGAGAGGGTAAGCTAGGCTGCACCCTGAAATCACACAGACACACAGCCCTCAAGCCACAAATATCCTTGGCCCACAAATGTTGCCCATAAAGAGGCCGAGATTCACCTGGAATAGAAGGCAGAAGTCAGAACTGGATCCTTCCAGTAATTAATTCCTTTTCTACTTAATTATTTTGGTACTTGTCCACATCCTATGCTGTGTCTAAGAGGCTTGTGTACAAGATCAGGGTAGAGAACTAAAAGGAGGTTCAAATGGAATTGCAGTGGAATGTGCAGTCGACCACTCAACTTAACAGAAAGAGGATTTTAAAGGTGCCCTGGTTGGGGCTTCCTGTGCTTCTTTTGGTTCTTTGGGTTAGAAGCCACCTCTTATGAATGCTGAGGTATTTGGGGTAGAATGTCAAATTGTCTACAAGTTACTTTCAAAAGATTTGGCAAAAAAAAAAATTTTATCTATCTATATATCTAGGGAGAGAGACAAACTATACAGATATAGAGAGAAATTACATAGACATAGATGAGATAAAGCAAATGAGGTTAACTCAATGTAACAACTGGTAAATCTAGGAGAAGATCCCACTCTTTCAACTTGACTGAGGTCTGAAATTTTTCAAGTTAAAAAGTTAAAGAGGGGCCGGCCCGGTGGCATAGTGGTTAGGTTCGCGCACTCCACTTCGGCGGCCTGGGGTTCACAGGTTTGGATCCTGGGCACCAACCTGTGTGCTTATCAAGCCATGCTGTGGTGGTGTCCCACATACAAAGTAGAGGAAGATGGGCATGGATGTTAGCCCCGGGCCAATCTTCCTCAGCAAAAAGAGGAATGGCAACTGATGTTGGCTCAGGGCTAATCTTCCTCACCAAAAAAAAAAAAATAGTTGAAGAAAAATTTATAGCAGGCACACAATACTAAAAAATAAATACTGTCTTTGAAAATGTTATTTAAAGAGGCTTTCTCTCAGACCCTGCATTCTTTATCTATCTTCTGGTTAGAAGCTTTTATGGTGAGTAACAACTTCTATCACCCGACTCCATCTCTCTGGGGGTTCTTCACTCTTCCCCTTCAGCTCAGGGCCCTGTACAGCCCACTCTGTGATTACGGCTCTGGTAGGTAGAAGCTGGTGACCTCCTTCCCCTGTGGTATGTCAGATTTCTGTAGGGCAGAGGTTCATTTTGCTTTGGTGTGTGACTGGTAAGCAAGTCAGGATGTGACATATATTGGCTACCTCCATGCTGGGAGGAGCTGGATGCTCATGGAACCGTATGGTGTTCGGAGGTAGGCAATCTAGGTTGTACAAGATGCCAAAAGGCCCTCAAAAGACACTAGGAGCACAAGATGGAGAGAAAGACAAAATTGCACTCTCCCAACCACCTCCCACCCCCGCCTTTTACCACTCTCGATAATGACCCTAACTGGGTATAAAGGGAGGAGGGTTGCTATGGTGCTGGCAAGGGACAGAGCTGGGAAGGGATTAGAGAAGATAGTACAATAGGGACAGAGGCACAGCCTACATAAGCTTGAGAAGAAGTTTGTTCCTTTATGCTGAGTTCCATAATACCAGAGTACATCATGTGGCTTTTAAAGTTTCCAAAAAATCTTCCCTTCCTTAACTGGGCCCTTACATTACTTGGGAAATGTTAGAAGACCTGGTACTCAAGCAGCTATAATAACTGCAGCTCTTAAAACCCCTGCCTATCCCATTTCCAGCGAAAAATGGGCTCAGCAAGCTCAAGAGTTGCTCTCACAAGAAGCCTTTAGCTAACTGGTAAGAAGAGGTAAATGTATAATTATGACTGGGAAGACCTTCTTGTCCTTTAAAGATGTGAGAAGCTGACTTTTCTGTATACAAAATCGTAATCGAAACAGCTAACACATATTGAGTATTTCAACATGCCAGGCACTACTCCAACTGTTTTAAATCATTTATCTCATAATAACTCTATGAAGTACTTCCTGTTATTAATCCTATGTTACAAATGGAGAAATTAAAGGAAGGAGAGATTAAGTAACTTGTCCAAGACCTCATAGCTAGTAAAAGGCAGAGACAGGATTCAAACCCAGGCACTCTGACGACAGCTTGTGCCCTTAACTGCTAGGCCATTCCAGCTCTCTTTAAGAAGACTTCAAAGTGACAAGCAGAATGTCAGTGCCCCACAGGGTTTTTAAACAATTTTTCATGCATACTCTTGACTACGCTTTGGAGGATCAACAATGCCCTGGGGATTTCCTTAGCTTTCTTTGAAGGTGAAGTGGAAAGACAAGAAATAATACGACTTGTAACTATAACAACAAAAATCGTAACCATAGCCAATATCTGTGTGCTTACCATGTGCCAGACATTGTTTTTACTAAGCACTTGATGTGCATTCTCTCATGCCAACTCTGCAAAGTATTATTGCTATCCCATTTTATAAACAAGGAATCAGAGGCTATTGCCCAAGGCCACAGACCTTGTAAGCGGTGAAGTAGTCTGACTCCAGAGCCTAGCTCTTAACCACCAAGGCATATGGCCCGCTCTGACCAACTTGAGGACAGGGACCACTGGATAAGCTTACCAATGAACTACCCAGCAACTGGCACAGAGATAAGCACATAGTAAGTGCTTCACCAAGCACTGGATACCATGGAAGAGTCGGGAGATTGGGGAGGGCTACCTTTCCTCTCCCATGTGTTAAGGCAGAGTCTCAAATATGTATGGCACAGACCGAAAAGAGTGTAAAATACAAACTTTACACATTACTCAACCTAAGCATATAACCCTCCCAGAGAGATATAAGGGATGACACCAGGAGGATGTCCCAGGCTTACCTGTCCCCGCATGACAGCAATCTGCTTATGGAACTGGCCCCTGTCAAAACCAGGATCTTTCTGCAAAAGAAGGGCAGAGGAGATGGACTCTGCATGAATCCCTCAGAAGAACCCATTTTCCTCCCCGTTAGAAACTTGCTAATAAAGAAAACCTACAAGAGGGGCTGGCCCCGTGGCTTAGTGGTTAAGTGAGCGCGCTCCACTGCTGGCGACCCGGGTTCGGATCCCGGGCTCGCACCGACGCGCTGCTTCTCTGGCCATGCTGAGGCCGCGTCCCACATACAGCAACTAGAAGGATGTGCAGCTATGACACACAACTATCTACTGGGGCTTTGGGGGGAAAAAATAAATAAATAAAATCTTTAAAAAAAAAAAAAAAAAAAAAGAAAACCTACAAGAGGCTTATGAGGCTTAGTGAAGTCAACTATCACCCCAAGAACTTCCTGTTTCACAGATGGGGAAACAGAGAACATGTCTTTTCCTGAGTCTCCTTATTTACTCTAAAGAATGCCAGGCTCTAGTGCTCCATTTGAGAATGAGAGCTCTGCAGACACACTGCAGCCACATGACACATAGGATACACACCAGTGGGATTCATCAGAGCTGCCAATTTTTTTCAAACCAATCCAAACTAGGTCCTGATGTTCACATGTGGGAATCTTGCTCTTCCTTGGCTAACACAAGTCAGAAGGGTGTTGGCCATGCTCTCTCCGCTCTTATCAGGACCAGTTAGAAAAACCATTAGGAATTCCTTCTTCTCTATGGGGATAAGGCTGAGGTTCCCAGGTCTAACCTTGAAGAGTTCATATAGGTCCTCCTCCAAGTCCTTGACGAAATTAGGGTCCGATATCTTTGGAAGAATCAGATCTTTGATCTCCTGAGAGAATGGGACTTTTGCCTGGGGCAACCAGGCCCAGTAAAAAGGATCTGCAAAGAAGAAAGGGCAGAAGCACAGCTGATGTTGAAAAAAATCCCTGCCCATCTATGTCCTCCACCTATCAGAGCACTGCAAAAGGCAGAACACCCCTCTTCCTTGATATACAACAGAAAAGAAAAGTTACAAGGGCTGTTTACCCTCAAGGTTACAGTTAGTAAGTGGAGGAACTAGGATTCAAACCCAGGTCTGCCTAATCCCAGAGCCTGTGCTCTTTCTCAGACATGACATGGCCTTCCAAGACGCAAGCCTATCTAGAAGCGATTACTTGTCACTAAGGCATTGAGACACTCCTTCTGAAAAGAGACTAGTGCTGCAAAGGGGCTAGTGACCTCCTACCTGTACTCCTACCCCCTCGTTCCACAAGTTTCTCAGTTATAATGGGGCAGGAGTTGGCTTCCAGGATGTCAACAAGGAAGATAGAACACTGATAGCAGCTGATATTTAGAGATAAAAATAAAATAAATTATGACAAGTAGTCCATAGAAAGAACAAGAAGAATGCAAAGTGGAGATGAGAAAACTCAAGTCTATGCTTCTACTGGGAATGATGTAAGGTAAAAATGATAGTAATAGCTTACATACGGAGTAGTTGCTATGTGCCAGCCATCGTGCTAAAGCACATGAGCTGCACTATTTCATTAATTCTTAGAACAATCCTGTGATAGAGGTATTATTATCTACATTACACAGACAAGAAGACTGAGACTGAGCAAGAAAAGAGCCAGACCACAGTGGTCTTGAGACTTACATGCTCTCCAGGAGTCAGGATGCTTCAGGGGGAAAGCCAGCCCATTGTCTATGGCAGCCACCTTGATAACAGGCTCCTTCACCACCACCCAGTCTGTGTCCTGAAGAGCAAGGAAAGACTAAATACTTAGGGTCCCATCTGCCTAAGGCCCTTTAAAGTAGTAGCAAAGCATCCCATCTCAACCTCCTCAGGCACCAATCCTTATTCAACCTCTGAACTGATTTCCATATTGTTACCTGCACTTAGCACATTTATGGCACCTCTGACTTGGCTTGTTCAAGGTGCTTAGAGTCCCTTTCTCATCTTAGGAAAGGTGCACTTCCCCAGCAGTTGCCACAGTCCTTGGTAAGAAGGGACATGACAACAACAAAAGATAACTATAATCATTCCTCCTAGGGAAAGGCAGTGAAAATCTGAGAGTATGAAAAGAAGAAAGAAAAATCAATTATTAGTCAGCCAAGGTCCTTGACTCAGATGCCACTTCACTGGCGGGGACCACATTTTCCAGTGAGATAAAAGAACCGTGGAAGATAATAGTTAGCTGCTCTTGCACAGGGAGTCTGTTCCCCGGCTACATGAAAAGGAAAAAGATGAAAGCCGAATGCAAAAAGAGTGGGCAGGCTGTCTGTGACAGCCCATCTCAGTCACTCCCATGACTGTCTATTTGACTTCATGCTTCAAGTTCACTGGTGCCATCACAGGAACAGAGAGTGTGGGTCCGGGATACCTGCATCAGAATCCCCTGGGATACTTTATTAAAAGTGTGGAATCCTAGGTTTTACCGCAGATCGAATGGGGAAAGGCTTGAAGAATCTGTACTATTTTTAATAAGCCCTTCAGGTGATTATGCTGTACAAAATTTGAGAACCACTATTAGAGAAGGAAGTAAAAACACTATGAGGATGTGTTAACTAACCTTATGTGGTAAACATTTTGCAATATATACATGCTTCAAATCATCACATTGTACATCTTTTTTTTTTTTTTTTTGAGGAAGATTAGCCCTGAGCTAACATCCGATGCCAATCCTCCTCTTTTTGCTGAGGAAGATTAGCCCTGGGCTAACATCCGTGCCCATCTTCCTCTACTTTATATGGGATGCCGCCACAGCATGGCTTGACAAGCGGTGCGTTGGTCTGCGCCCAGGATCCGAACCCGTGAACCCCGGGCCACAGAGGCAGAGTGTGCGAACTTAACAGCTATGCCACCGGGCCGGCCTCCTACATTGTACATCTTAAACTTGCACAATGTTATATGTTAATTATATTCCAATAAAGCTAGAAGAAAAAAAAAACATTATAAGGAATAAGAGCCAACCTCACTCTCCTCCAGGTAGGCTTCCTGCTAATTTTTTAAAACATGCAGACTGAGCAGGTATAGAGAAGTGTGGTGGAGTACGAAAGCAATGAGAAAGTTAAGAAAGTTGCAGGAAACAGCTTTTTCTAAACTGATGTTCTGTGGAATTGTGGTCTGCTGTGAGAAAAGTGTTCCATGGTCAAAGAAGTTTAGAAATCACTGGGCTAAACACAATTAAACAGGTTCTTTTAATGCACTACTTCTCAGACCTTTACTATGCTACTATGTAATGTGAATTTCCAAGAAAGGCATAAAGTATATAATATGTTCCAAACTTATTTGAACTTTTCTTCATTCTATCCCTATTAACATCATTCAGTAGGATATTCCTTAAAAAACAAATCGAGAAAAATTCTACCAAATATTATAACCTATCAATTTTAAACAGATGTGCTAGCTTGATTCTCTGAACTTATGTGACCTCCAATCTCTGACTATTATGGGCTTCCATATTATGCATATACTCCACTTCACCCTCTTCTTCAAGGCAGAGATCAACATCTTACCCGAGAACTAGAACTATCCATCGGACAGTCATATTTAATCAGCCAGTTGTCATTGCCTCGATCTGTGAACAGAAATATCAAGTTAGTAGAAAAAACTGGGGTGACTTTCACTTTCAACAATGATGGCCTAGATATTTTCGACACTTGGACCTACTGAGAAGGACTACAAAAAATGGATAAAATATTTTCAAATCTCTTGAAGGCTTTGGAGATTTTAACAAGACCATTATGAGTTAAAGTATCAAGACCTGGGAGAGAAAGGAAATCCAGAGAGAGAAGCCCAGCATTTGTGACTTTTTTTCTTCTAGAGCACCTGCTGATTTGGGAAGAAGTGACTAAGAGGCTAAGAGGTGGAAAAGTGTTCTAATAGCCTTGTAGAGTTAGGGAGAAAAAATTGTAGTCCAGTGACTGATAAGGGGGAGGAGACCCTGGTAAACCAACCATGCTTTGGGTTGAAACCTGAAGGGCTACACCCTGGAAAATAAGCAGAGTTTCTCCTCAATACCTGAAATAAAAGTGATCCTGGATTGCTGGTGCCCCCAGCTGCTTGCCAAAAGGAAACATCTTCTTCCAGACAGGACTTATATCAGCATCCTAGGCCTCCAAATACCTCTACAATTTCTGATACACAATATCCAACAATCAAAAATAACCAGGTATACAAAGAGACAAGATGACACGAATAAAAACAAACAAAACTACAGAAAATCAAAACAAACCTACAGGGGCTCCACGCAATGAAGATATAGACTCTAAAACGTTCAAGATAAAATTCTTAACATATTAAGAAGATAAAAGGCAAGATTAAGAATATCAGCAGAAAACAAAAATCTTTTTAAAAAAATCAAACAGAAATTCAAGAACTGAAAAATACATTTACCAAAATTAAGAACTCAATAGTTGAATTTAATAGCAGATTGTGCTAAAGAGAGAAGTAGTGATTTGAAAGACAGGTCACAAGAAAACAGCCAGAATAAAAGCACCCAAGAAAAAGGTTGTATACATTAATGTATATCTAACCACATGTAATTGGAGTCCCAGAAGGAGCAGAGAGAAAAATGGGCAGAAGTAATATTTAACGAGATAATAGCTGAGAATTTTCCAAAAGTGACAAAAGATATCAAACTATAGATTCAAGGAACCCTGTGAATCCCTGATAAGATACATACAAAGAGGGGCTGGCCCCGTGGCTTAGCGGTTAAGTGCTTGCGCCCTGCTACTGGCGGCCCAGGTTCGGATTCCGGACGTGCACCAACGCACCGCTTCTCCGGCCATGCTGAGGCCACGTCCCACATACAGCAACTAGAAGGATGTGCAACTATGACATACAACTATCTACTGGGGCTTTGGGGAAAAAAATGGAGGAGGATTGGCAATAGATGTTAGCTCAGAGCCGGTCTTCCTCAGCAAAAAGAGGAAGATTAGCATGGATGTTAGCTCAGGGCTGATCTTCCTCACAAAAAAATAAATAGATAAATAAAATGATTTTTTTATTACAAAAAAAAAGATAAATACAAAGAAAACCATACATAGGTATATCATAGTAAAAATGCTGAAAACCAAGTACAGGAAAAATCTCAAAAGGAGCTAGAGAAAAAGATAGATTACCTTCCAAGAGGCAACAATAATATAGACAACTGACTTCACAGAAACCATGGAAGCAAGAAGACAATGAAATGCTTTTTTTTTTTTAACTCCTGAAAGAAAATACCCTTCAAAAATGAAGGTGAAATAAAGATATTTTCAGACAAATAAAAACAGAAAATTAATCCCCAGAAGACTAGTACTAAAATATTCTCCAGGTCAAAGGAAAAGCATCCCAAATAGAAGCTTGGAGATGCAGAAAAAAATAAAGAGCAATAAAACGGGTAAATATGTTAATAAATCTAGATAAATATTGTTAGTTTTGTTTCGTGTGATAGTGGTATATTAAAAAAAAAGAGTTATCTTTTAAAGATACATACTTCAAAAATTATAAATAAAATTACATCTGGGATTTGCTTTAAAATAATAAAAGAAAAAGGCCAGCCTGGTGGCATAGTGGTTAAGTTCGCGTGCTTTGCTTTGGTGGCCCGGGGTTCGCAGGTTTGGATCCCAGGCGCAGACCTATGCCCCCGCTTATCAAGCCATACTGTGACAGGCATTCCACATATAAAGTAGAGGAAGATGGGCATGGATGTTAGCCCAGGGCCAGTCTTCCCCAGCAAAGAGAAGAGGATTGGCAACATATGTTAGCTCAGGGCTAATCCTCCTCACATACACACACACAAAAAATAAAAAAAATTAAAAAAAGAAGGTAAGCAAATGGAAGTGTGAATGGGATAGGATCAGTCATGGATTGATTGTTGTTGAGGCTGGGATGACTGGTTCATGCTGGTTCATTATTCTGCTTATTTGTGTGTGTTTAAAAGTCTCCATAATTATTATTAATAACAACAACAATATTAGCTTATAGTTTTATATGAATGTTTTTATATATACACACATATACATATATATGTATATGCATACATATATAATTAAAAAGCATGACATTAATAGTATAAAAGTCTGGAGATGAGTAAATAGAGCTAAAGGTTTCTAAGGTCTCTGCATTATCTAAGAAAATAGTACCAATTTTATATCAGATTTTAGGAAATCAATGATTCACATGGTAATCTTTAGAGTAAACACCAAGAGAAAAGACAAAGAGTATACAACTTCTAAGCTAAAAGAGGGAGGAAATGAAATAATTATAAAATAATTTAAAAGAAAGCAAGAAAGGAGAGGAAAAAAAGATCATAGAGAGAAGGGGAGGAAAAAACCAGATAGGCAGAAAACATAGAAAGCAAATAATAAGATGGTAGATGAAAATCCAAATATATCTTTACATACATTACAGATAAATGAACTAAATGCTCTAAAATTAAAATATAACAGTTCTCTCACTGGACAAATAAAATCGACAAACTTTTAGCCAGATAGACTAAGAAAAAAAGAGAGAAGACTCAAATCACTAAAATCAGAAATGAAAGTGGGGACATTACTACCAATTCTACAGAAATAAAAAAGGATTGCAAGAGAGTACTATAAGCAATTGTATGCCAACAAACTGGATAACCTAGATGAAATGGACAAATTCCCAGAAACACAAAACCTAACAAGATGAAAGCACGAAGAAATAGAAAATTTGAACAGATCTATAACTAGTAAGAAGACTGAATCAGTAATCAAAAATCTCTTGACAAATAATAGCCCTAGACCTGATGGCTTCTGGTGAATTCTACCAAACACTGAAAGAAAAACTAACATCAATCCTCCTCAAATTTTTCCAAAAATTGAAGAGGAGGGAATACTCCATAACTCATTCTACGAGGCCAGCATAACCTTGATACCAAAGCCAGACAAAGACAGTACAAGAAAAGAAAACTACAGACCAATATCCCTTATAAATATTGATAAAAAATCCTCAACAAAATAATAGGAAACTGAGGGGCTGGCCCGGTGGTGCAGCGGTTAAGTTTGCACACTCTGCTTCAGCAGCCTGGGGTTCGCAGATTCAGATCTTGGGCGCGGACCTATGCACTGCTTATCAAGCCATGCTGTGGCAGCTGTCCCACATACAAAGCAGAGGAAGATGGCATGCATGTTAGCCCAGGGCCAGTCTTCCTCAGCAAAAAGAGGAGGATTGGCAACAGATGTTAGCTCAAGGCTAGTCTTCCTCACCAAAAAAACGAAAAACAAAAACAAAACAAAACATATAGCAAACTGAATTTAGCAGCATTTTAAAAGGATTATATACCATGACCAAGTGGAATTTACTGCTGAAATGCAAGGATGGTTCAACATATAAAAATCAATCAATGTAACACATTACATTAACAGAATGAAGGAAAAAAACCAAATGATCATCTCAACTGATGGAGAAAAAGCATTTGACAAAATTCAACATCCTTTCATGATAAAAACACTCAACAAACCAGGAATAGAAGGAAACTACCTCAACATAATAAAAGTCCTGCATATGAAAAACCCACAGCAAACATCATAATCAATAGCGAAAGACCAAAAGCTTTGCCTCTAAGATCAGGAACAAGGCAAGGACACCCACTTTCTTTTTTTTTTTTTGGATTTTTTTTTTTTTTTTTTTTGTGAGGAAGATCAGCCCTGAGCTAACATCCTTGCTAATCCTCCTCTTTTTTTGCTGAGGAAGACCAGCTCAAAGCTAACATCTATGGCCAATCCTCCTCCTTTTTTTTTCCCCCAAAGCCCCAGTAGATAGTTGTATGTCATAGTTGCACATCCTTCTAGTTGCTCTATGAGGGACGCGGCCTCAGCATGGCCGGAGAAGCGGTGCGTTGGTGCATGCCCGGGATCCGAACCCAGGCCGCCAGCAGCGGAGCACAGGCACTTAACCGCTAAGCCACAGGGCCGGCCCGGACACCCACTTTCACCACTTCTATTCAACGCAGTACTGGAAGACCAGAGCAATTATGCAAGAAAAAGAAATAAAAGGCACCCAAACTGGAAAGGAAGGGGTAAAATTATCTCTGTTTGCAGGTGATATTATCTTATACAGTAGAAAACCCTAAAGACTCCACAAAAAACTGTCAGAACTAATAAACTTAGCAAAGTATCAGGACACAAAGTATCAGGATACAAAGTCAACACACAAAAAGCAGTTGCATTTCTATTCACTAACCATGAACAATCCAAAAAGGAAATTAAGAAAACAATTCCAGGGCCACAATTCCAGCAACTAGAAGGATGTGCAACTATGACATACAACTATCTACTGGGGCTTTGGGGGAAAAAAGGAGGAGGATTGGCAATAGATGTTAGCTCAGAGCCGGTCTTCCTCAGCAAAAAAAAAAAAAAAAAAAGGAAAGAGAAAAGAAAACAATTCCATTTACAATAGCATCAAAAAGAGTAAAATACTGAGAAATTAATTTAACCAAGCAGGTGACAGACTTGTACAATGAAAACTACAAAACACTGCTGAAAGAAATTAAAGAAAATATAAATAAACGGAAAGATACAACATGTTCATAGACTGAAAGATTCAATAGTTAAGATGTCAATACTACTCTAAGTAATCTAGAAATTTAATGTAATTCATATCAAAATCCCAATGATGTTTCTTGCAGAAATAGAAAAACCCATGCTAAAATTCATAGGGAATCTCAAAGGACTGCAAATAGCCAAAACAATCCAGGAAAAGAAGAACAAAGCTGGAGAACTCATACTTCCTCCAAAACTTTCAAACTTACTCCAAAACTACACTTACTACAAAACTTCCTACAAAGCTACAGTAATCCAAACAGTGTGGTATTGCATAAAGACAGACATATAGACCAATGGAATAGAATAGAGAGTCTAGAAATAAACTTTCGCATTTATGATCAAACGATTTTTGACAATGGGCCGCAAAACCATGCAATGGGGAAAATACAGTCTTTTCAATAAATGGTGCCGGGAAAACTGGATATCCACATACAAAAGAATGAAGTTGGACCCTTACGTAACACCATATATAAAAATTAACTCAAAATGGATCCACGACCTAAATCTAAGACCTAAAACTATAAAATTCTTAGAAGAAAACATAGGGCAAAAGCTTCATGACATTGGATTTGGCAATGATTTCTTAGATACGACACTGTAGGCACAGACGACAACAGCAAAAATAGACAAATTGGACTTCACAAAAACTTAAAAATTAATTGCATCAAAAGACACTATCAAGAGAATAAAAAGGTAACCCACAGAATGGGAGGCAATATTTGCAAATCATATATCTGTTAAAGAGATTAATATCCAGAATATATAAAGAACTCCTAACAACTCAACAATAATAAAACAAACAACCCAATTCAAGATGAGCAAAGGACCTGAATAGACATTTATCCCAAGAAGATATACAAATGGCCAAAAAGCACATGAAAAGATGTTCAACATCACCAATCATTAGGGAAATGCAAATCAAAACTACAATGAGATACCACCTCACACCTATTAGGATGGCTACTATCAAAAAAACAGAAAATAACAAGTGGTGGCGAGGATGTGGAGAAATTGGAACTCTTGTTCACTGTTGCTGGGGATGTAAAATGGTACAGCTGCCGTGGAAAACAGTACAGTGGTTGCTCAAAAAATTAAACATAGAATTACCATATGATCCAACAATTCCACTCCTGGGTATATACTCAAAAGAATTGAAAGCAGTGTCTCAAAGATATTTGTAACTCCATGTTCCTAGCAGCATTATTCACAATAGCTAAAACACAGAAGCAACCCAAGTGTCCATCGACAGCTGAATGGATAAGTGAAATGGGATACATACATACAATAGACTATTATTCAACCTTAAAAAGGAAAGAAATTCTGACATATGCTACAACATGAACCTTGAGGACATTACATTAAGTGAAATAAATCAATCACAAAATGAGAAATACTGTGTGAATCTACTTATAGGAAGTACTTAAAGACAAAACTGTCCTGTGATAGGCCTTGCTATACGAAGGACTAGGGATCAAGGATAAGAGTAACTCTTCACGTTGCTTCGGAAGAGCCGAAGTGTCTTCTGTCTGGGACCAGGAAGGGGCCAAGATAAAATGTAAATATTGGCTCCAGGCATCACCACCTCTGATAACTACACGTGATGTGCCTGGACAAAGCATGTCTTGGAAAAGTATTTTTGAGACCCTCCCCAAATGTGCAAAACCCTTCTGACTTAGGAAAAAATTCACCCTGATAGCGTACTCTGATACCAAGCTCTGCACACCTCCAGACCTCCCCCTGGGCCACCCCACAGCCTGACACAGGGACAGGACCACCAACAGCTGCTCACCAGTGTTGCGGATGATGTAATCCAGCACCACCAACCGCTCAAACTGCAGCAGTAGTTGCCGGTTAGTGTTCTCAGGGAGAGGTTCTGCTTCGAAACGCCGTAGCCAGTAATCTGCATCTTTGTAGCTTTCAACAAAGAGCTGGAATGAACCAACCTGCAATAAAAAAAGGAAGAATAAAGGTATTTCCCTACAGTCCAAGTCCAGAGTCCCCAGGAGTAAGCTAGCTACCCACTAAGGCCCTGTGGAGTTTATATCAGAAAAGGGTTGTGACAGTGATTCCCCATCCAAATTCAAGAAGCCCATCTAAATGGTCCAGAGGAGTAAAGTGAGAAAGTGAGGGTCTCTATTCTCTGGAGAATTATTCCTCAAACCTTAGGACCTTGACAGAAATGAGGAAGACAGGAGCATGGGGCAGGCTATTCATGTGCCCATACGCGAGTCTGTGGTCACCTTGCTTCACCACTTGGATGATTATGCCACTACAAATCATCACCTTTAATAAGCCACATAGGTTCAGTCTATACCTTTGGTGGTAGCCCGATACGGTTAAACCGCTGCCCAACTTTTGGCACTTTCTCTAGCGCAAGCCGCTTTCCCCTGGACTTCACTCTGTCAATGGCACTATAGTTGAAGGTCTCACTGGCCAGGTATACTACCTACAATGGAAAGAGAAGAGATACCTAGGTTAGAGCCAAGTCTCAGGAACTATACCACTATGGCAGAGAATAGCTAGATGCTTACCAATACTATTATTCTTCCAGGGCACACAGAAAGAATGCATTTCTCAGCCTTTCTAACTGCTAGGATAGAGTATATGATTAGTTCGGGCCAACGGAATATTGACAAAGTGATGACTGTACATCACTTCCAGGCCTGGCCACTAAAATCTCCCACGATCCTTGGTTCACAGTCCCCAATTTGCACAGCTGGAGATGAAGGGCTCTGAGATGGTAAAACCACATCATGGAAGGATCCTAGATCCCTTCACTACATGGATCTAGGAGACAAGGGATCTAGGAGAGCTGTGAGCTGACATGGATCTACGATGTGAGCAAGAAATAAACTCTGTGTTAAACCATGGCAATTCAGGGGTTGTTAGAGCAGCTAGCATGAATTACCCTGATTAACACAGCCACCTCCTGGGTTAGGAGAAGATGTCCCAATGCCTATTTTCTCTCCAAATAAAAACAAATTGCTATTTACTCTATAGCCTTTTATTTCCTTTTGAATTTTGTACTACGTGCAATTAGTCATATTCAAAAAATAAACAAACATAAAAATTGGTTTTAATTTTTAGTGTATTGCCATATATATGCATATTTATGCAGACTACATCTGGAATATTACACAAAAAACTAGTAATAGCAGCTGCCTCTGCGGAAGGAAAGTGAGTGGCTGGAAGACGGGGGTGGAAGGGAGGCTGAATTACTCTTCTGTTTACTCTACTGTGCCTTCTGACTTTTGCACTAGATGCATGCATTGTCTAGTCAAAAAAACATCTTTTTAATGGGCCATCAATATTACACTTGAGGGCTGGCCTGGTGGCGCAAGCAGTTAAGTGCCCGCACTCCGCTGCAGCGGCCCAGGGTTCCCCGGTTCAGATCCCGGGCGCACACCGATGCACCGCTTGGCAAGCCATGCTGTGGCGGCGTCCCATATAAAGTAAAGGAAGATGGGCATGGATGTTAGCCCAGGGCCAGTCTTCCTCAGCAAAAAAAAAAAAAAAGAGGAGGATTGGCAGATGTTAGCACAGGGCTGATCTTCCTCAGACACAAAAAAAATATTACACTTGATTGTCAAAATGCAGTGATATCACTGTAATCCGTATATACGTCCATTATTACACTTATCACATTGTCTTGTGATTAACCATTCATATATCCAACTTATCTCTTAAGACTAACGAAATTTTGGGAGGAAGAGAACATCTTATTCACATTAGCATCCCCAGTACCTACCACAGTGCCTGGCACATGCTCATTAAATATTTATTAAGTGAAAGAATGAATGAGTTACAAGCTTCTTTCAGAGGCAGCAACAAGTGGGTTTTAGCATATAAATACCTAAATCAAATTTATAAGAAAATTCTTTCTTTTCCTAAGCCTTGTAGAATTCATTACAAATAACTAATTATTTCGCCCATGAATCTTAAAGACAGAGAGAGACAAAATAATCCCCTCCCTCCCATCCATCCACCTATCCGTCCAACCAATGTTAACAGAGTAAAATGGATGTGTAAGGTACTGTAGGTTGGCACTCTCTGCCTTACCAATCAGGAAACACAGGCACAGGAATAAAGGGAAAAAAAGACTTTCCTAAGACTACCTTGCCAGTTTCCATGGTGAAACCCTGGCTCTCTCAAGCCATAAACCGCCCTTTCTCCCTATCAAATTTATTTGCAATCATTCTTTATAACAAACCACTTTTTCCCTATGACTAATGAAACTATCATAACCTCAAACCTCACAGGAACAGAGAGCAGAGACTGCTATTGTGTGAGAATTAGAACCTTACTATTTGAAGCTCCATTGCAACATGAGCCCTGTTTCCATAGTGACAGATGTTCTGATCAACTGGATAGAATCCTGTCACAAGGGTAGGGAGGCGGGGAGGGGAGAGACTTCCTCTTACAGCTGTATGTTAAAACTTGCAAAGTTCTGTCTCTTCTCAGTCTCATGGAAGACAAGTGTTTTTGCTGTTGCTGACTTTTTGATGCAAAAGATCCTCAGGCCTCATTGAGGTTCTCTAACAGGGAAAGAGGAAGACCAGAGCTGGGGGAGAAAAGGATCATGGGAGGTGACATTAATGATTAGAATAGTCATAAAAACACCACAGGCTAAGATGTACAGAGTGTTTACATTGTGCCAGGTACTGGGCTACGTGTTTTATATGGGTTATCATATGTAATCTTACTAGCCACCTCATAAACTAGGAACTATTTATAGCCCTATTTTTATAGTGAGGAAACTGAGTGGGCGGGGGGAAGGGTCTTAAGTGACTTGCCCAAGGGTCACCCAACAAAAAACCTACAGAGCCAGAATTTGAACTCAAGCCTCTGATTCGTAGGCACTGCACTCCAGAAGCACAGGCAGGGCAGGCAGGCACAGGGCCAGGGGCGGTCTGTTATTTACTTAGTAAATAAAGGATATTACAGAATGATGAACAAGGAGTATTCAAGAGTTTCAAGAGTCTAGGAGGGGCCTAGTAGGAGGAATTCAGGTTAGGCAGGAGATCTTAGGAGCATTAATTACCATACAAGACGTTCAAAGTGGACAGAGAGAACTAAAGCATAAAGGGAAGGAATGAGCTGCACAAGGCCAGGAGTGAACTGGATGTCAAATAGGAGCCGCAAGCTGGAGCTACAATCAAACATTCTCTCCACAGACCTGACGCTGAGGGACCTCTGGTATTGTTTCTCACGGCTTGGCATCCATTCACTGATTCAGCTGGTACGTACTGAATGTTTACTATAAGTATAGTACTTTGCCAGGTGCTGAGAATGGGAGAAGGAACTTTCAAGAAATGGTCGCTGACATCTACAAATTTACAAAGTAGTTGGCTTACTGTTTGGAGTCTGGTGGCAAAGAAGCAGACACAGTTAAACACCCAAAATAATCACATTTTCTTCTAAACATACCCTGGGAAAATAGAAAAAAAATAGGTTTGAAGGGAAGCTCCTGTCTGCTGATCAATCTCTTTGCCCAGAGTCTGCTATCTAAACCTGCGAAGAAAACCTCAAGCCGGGGTTTTTAATCTAGAGACATGGTCCTACAGGGTCAATGGATGGACTTTAACTGATCTATGAATCATCCCCCTGAAATTATATGCAAAATAGTAATTGCAAATATGTGTATTTTTTCTGGGAACAAGATCTATAGCTTCCATCTGAGTCTCAAAGAAGACTAAGATCCAGAGCTACAAAGATGCCCCTGCAGCCTAAGGCATCAGAGCAGAGTTCCACCTTAAGTTGTTACTAAACCTCAGATAGCCATATACTCAATGGGTGATCACATGTCCTTAAATGTTCGTATGCTGACCAGCAGATTCCTTCCCCACATAACCCTTGGAAAGCTTCATGGAACATCCTATAATATAGGGGTTCTTAACCTGGTGTTAGTAAACTTCCTGAAACTGTATGCAATCAATTCTGTACTAAGCACATTTTTTGGGCGGGGGGAGGGGGTACAGCCCAGAGCATTCATCAGAACCTCACCTAAGTCATAACACATATAAGGTATGTACAAATCCATTCTAAGCGTGGATTTGCCTGGATTCGGGACCCCAATTTTCTTATGTTCAGACAAGTACAAGAATTCCATAGCATAAAGATGGGTGAGGAGAATTCCACGTCAGTTCCCTGTAGGGGACCTTTCTCTTACAGGTCAGACCTTTACCCTAACCCTCAGCCCATCCTAGAGTCCTCCTTGCCAGACCTTGCATAAGTGCTTAGCTGACATCAGCTAGTCCATTCCAGACTGTATCTAAATTCTAGAATGGCTCAGAAATCTAAGAGAGTGAGCCACAAAATAGCTAGGTTTCTAATCAGCTTGGCGTTATCTGGGATCCAAAGACCCAGGGAGCCCATAAATGTGTATCAGAGGATTGGTGAACTCCCTGAAATTGCATGGAAAAATTTTATGTCTATCTTTCTCAGGACAGATTTCATCAGATGATCAAATCACGACCCTAAACCTACCACCCTCCGCCAAAAATGGCTGAGAACCCTAGACTAAGGGCATAAACAGCCTTCACTGGAGCTAATGGTCCCACTAACATGCAGCAGGGCTCAGGCCCAGGAAAACTCTGGCCAGGCAGTAAGGCTCCCTGGAGACAGGTCACTGACCTTTGTACGGGGTACAATGTTGAGTTCTAGTTTTTGGTCCACCAGGCTGGCCCCTGCCTCTGAGAGATAGCCCTGGTTGAGGACAAGGCAATCACGGCCAAAGCAGCAGGGACAGCACAGCTTCTGCAGCCACTTGGTCCACTTAGGATTAAGGTGCCCATATGGCTCTTCATTCTTGGGTTTGAAGACAGCAATGATCTTCTACACAGACAAAACAAAAAGAAGACATTAAAGATAAGTTGACTAAAGTAGCTCACAGACCAGGTCAGCAGCACTCTAGAAAGAAATGAGAGGGCATAGGCAGACAATCCCTACTTACAGTCAGACACTGGCTTCTCCCCAGCTTGTAAGCAGAAAACACCAGCTCATGTGTGCAGCTAAGAGATCCATTGCTAGAAAGGGCTGTGGCCAAAGACCTGCCAAGTCTGGTATACATGGTATAACAGATTTTAACGCCATCAAACCCCAACCTTCAAGGTACATTTATTGGTTGCTCTGCACCAACTACGTAGAGACTCAAAAAATTATCAACTGAAAGGAAATTAGTAAGGTACAGTAGTCCCCCCTTATCCACAGTTTCACTTTCCGCAGTTTCAGGTACCCGCAGTCAACTGTGGTCCCAAAATATTAAATGGAAAATTCCAGAAATAAACAATTCATAAGTTTCAAATTGCTCGCCATTCTGAGAAGCATGATGAAATGTCACAGAGTCCCACTCCATCCTGCTGGGACATGAATCATCCCTTTGTCCAGCGTATCCACGCTGTATTCGCTATCTGCCTCTTCATTAGTCACTTAGTAGCCCACTAGGTTATCAGATCGACTGTCGCAATATTGCAGTGCTTGTGTTCAAGTAACTCTTATTTTACTTACTAATGGCCCCAAAATGCAAGAGGAGTGATGCTGACAATTCAGATATGCCAAAGAGAAGCCATAAAGTGCTTCCTTTAAGTGAAAAGGTGAAAGTTCTCGATTTAATAAGGAAAGAAAAAATATTGTATGCTGAGGTTGCAAAGATCTACAGTAACTTTTATTACAGTATATTGCTATAATTGTTCTATTTTATTAGTTGTTGTTAATCTCTTACCGTGCCTAATTTATAAACTCTATCATAGGTATGTACGTATAGGAAAAAACATAGTATATATAGGGTTTGATACTATTCGTGGTTTCAGGCATCCAATGGGGGCCTTGGAACATATCCCCCATGGATAAGGGGGACTACTGTATTATGGAATGAGGTTAAGAAAATTCCTTCATTGATCGTTGACTTCCTCTATCAGACTTACTTCACACCCCCTAGGTGTTAACAAAACCTTAAAATAAAAAGTTTAGGAATGATAAAGAAAGCAATGGAAAAGAAAAATCACAGCAGGAAAAAGAATCTGCTACCTGGTTAGAATGGGGTTCTTTTAAGTAATTCTGATAGGCAAGAGATCAGGACATGAGACGCCACAAATATTAAAATCCATCTTCTCTAGCAGACAGTAACTTAAACTCTCAAATGTCCTTGAAAATATGGAATGCTGCTGCACCCTAGAAACTGTAGCACTTCCTCCTGAAGGTTTTTTCCCCAGGCCAGTCTGCCCTCTGAGGTGGTTTTGCATTTAGCTCATTCCCTCTGATCCCCAAACTGGTGATTTTAAAGGAAGAAAATTAAATATGCTATCCAAGTGATTCATCTTCATATCATCTGACTCTCCCTCTCCCCTCACCCCACAGCCAACTCAAGCTAGTCTGGGTCATAAGACATTTTCCTGTGGGTGTCACTTCCTGAATGGCAGGTCACAGCAGAAAACATACAGCCATCTGCCCACATTAAGTAAGTACTTATATTAGGAATTGGCTGGGCGCATGTTTCCAACAATAACTGGTCAATCTTGAGGCCAGTTCCTTCAAGAAGCCTTGCAAGGATTTGAGAGGGCAAGAGAAATACAGAACTCTTCTCCTCCCTCCAAAAGAATCACTTTATTCTTAAAGACAAACTTACTTATTCACTGGAAAAGTCAAATGCATATATTCATATCATAAGTCTTCGGAATTACATTCTTATCCAAAGTGGCTAGCAAGAGGCCTAAGTTAGCAATCTTCCTCTCTATCTCTGTACCCCTGGAACCCTGGGTTCTGAACCACACAGCAGCAGTAGCAAAGGGCTCGCAATTGAGAAAATGATGAGTCCACTGTAACACCCTGGAACCGGGGCAGTGAAACCACAGGACAACTTGCGGCATGTCACATCCCAGAGCCCAAGAGTCAGTTCAACTGAGGCACAACGTGGAGTTCAGCAAGCTGGTCCCTGACGAAGGGTAGACCAATACATTCCTGCTACTAGCGGGGCTGAAAAATACTAGGGCTGAGGCTTAAATACTTCCACTTAAAGAAAGCAGAACTTGAAGGCCAAGACTGAAGCCAAGCATCATTTATAGACTAACCTCTCAAACGTCTCAATTTCCTTCCACCATAAGGAGAATCAGAAAGCATTTTATCAACTCTAAAAGCATTAGTAATCATGGTTATCTCAGTATTACAAGGGTTTCATTAAATAATAATGCCCAGACTAGACAGATGGAGGAACGGTAGGGTGTGAAGGATGGAAGGACAGGAGGACATTCAGACAGAAGGGGAGACAAGTGCCTTTCAGGACTAAGTGTAGGCCTCAGTTCAATTCAATTCGGTTAACACTTGCTCAGTACCTAGTTTGTGCAAGACTGTGTGAGCACACTGCAGGTTTCCTAGACAGATACATAAAACAGCCTCTGACCTAATTTCTAAAGCTAATGTTCACTTCACATAATCAACTGTGTGACTGAATACAAGAATACTCTCCTTATTCATAGAAAATAAACTCTAACACTACCCAAATTAGAAAGACACCCACCAGTATTTGGTTGAGAAAGAAAATGACTACTGCCTAATTTTTGTCACCATCCTCTCCTTTAACATACTTTCAATTCCTTTATTACATTTAGGAGAACGCTTCAGTTTGATGCCAATATCTTTAAAACACCTTTCCTTAACACCCACTTACTAATCCCCTTTCAATGAAGGGGGTGAGGTACAGGTAGCTGAAGCAGCAGCAGTCCATGAAGCTGGGGATAAAAGCAGAACTGCACAAGGAAGCCAGAGGCCACTCAATGGCCAGCGTCAGGACCCACAACCAATTACTGGAATCTCAAACCCAAAGGGTTTCCCATACCAAGAGGCTTTTTCCTCCAGGAACCTGAAACCTAAGACAGTTTAAGCACATCACTCATATTACACAGTGAAATATACAAAAATAACTTTTAATAAAACAGGTTTTTAAAAAAAATTTGGTAAAAATGAAGTAGACAGTTCTCAAACATTTTGGTCTCAAGATGTCTTTAAACTTTTAAAACTTATTAAGGACCCCTAAAAGCTTTTGTTTATGTGGGTAAAATCTATATTTGTTATAGCAGAAATTAAAACTGAAATGTTAAAACTATTTATTAATTCACTTAATAATAAAAATAAACTCATTACATGTTAACATAAGTGAAATGCTTTTATGAAAAATAACTATTTTCAAAAACAATTTTTAGTGAGAAGATAGGCATTGTTTTACTTTTTTGCAAATCTCTCCAATATCTGGCTTAAGAGAAGACACCTGTATTCTCACATCTTCCTTAAAATTCAATCTGTTTCAATATCACATCATGTAACTTCTGGAAATCTCCACTGTACACTCACAAGGAAATGAAAGTGAAAAAAGCAAATGGAGTATTAAAATTATTATGAAAATAATTTTGACCTGTGGACCCCAAAATGGGACTCCTAGAGGTCCCTGGGCCACACTCTGTGAGCTGCTGTCTTCTGCACTAGACGTTGAAGGGAAACGCAGTCCTTGACTTAGCTATTTAGGTAGAGATGCCTTATTTTACATGTTAACTCTCACAAAAGAGAGAGATGGGCTACTCCAAATATATGAGACCCTGAAGGAAGATGAGAGCCACACAGTATGTAGTAAAAGAGATTCAGCCTGTATTTGTTTTCCTATCCACTGCCATTGACTTAATCTGCCTCATCCATTACAAGGTATGGCCTGGGACAGCTCTCTACAACAGATAATAGATGATGTTTAAAATCTCAAGAACTGTATCTATATATGATATACAAACTTGACTGCCTCAACATTTTAGTAAAAAAATTTATTGTTTGAGATCTTTATTCCTTATTTGGCCATCAGTGTGGTTCCCAACCAAGTGTAAGGACATGAGAATTTCTTGGAGGGCACAGGTAGTTAGAAGAAGCATATTCAATATTACAACATAATTTTGCATTATATAATGGAAAAAAACACTGTACTGTTTTCATGACAATCTCTTTGTGGATAAAATATTTTTTAAAAGGTTGAAAATTACTGATATAAGGCCAAGTTCCTAGAACATGTGAGCCGTATCTGTAAAACTTTGAAGCAAATACCAATTAGCATTATCTAATGAATTACTATTCTCAATGGTCATGAAAGCATCTTCTCAAAGTCATTCTACTTTTGCCTTACTCAACGCCACGTATCCAAGAAAGCCTAATCCAGAGGTCAGTGGACATCTAACTTAAAAACGAAACACTCTGATTGAGCTCACACTAAGCAGGAACTATGCCAGGGGTTTTCGGTGTGATATCTCCTTTAATCCTCTTAATAAACTAGTGAGTCACGTGCTTATTCTACGATTCTCAGCAATTTGAACATGTAGTATGACTAGCCTCACAAAACAGAGAATGCTCAAAAAATGCTTTTGTAGGTGATTGAGTATGAAACTTGAAGCATAAGGATGTAAGAAAGGAAGGTAACATGAGCATTCTCTACCCTGAATTCTGATCTAGCATTTTCTGTCTTACTGTTCCAGCTCCCTACTTGCTCACCCAGAGGGAGGAACCATCCTAAATTGGGAAATGGAACCAGGGCTGTTATCTTCAAGAACCTTTCGGACTGTCTAGTCCGAAAGTCCAAAAGTAGCTGTTGCAGAAACTGCTGGTTCCCCCAACCTCTGTTCTCCCTTCTTCCTTGGACACAGGACTCCTGATTTTTAGCAGGGCAAAATAAGACTATAGTTCCCAGCCACTACTGCAGCTAAGTTCTGGACGATGGAATGTAAGGAGAAGAGTCTGGGGTAAATCCTAGGAAATGTCTTAAGAGGGTGTGGGGGGATATTCTCCCTCTCCCTTTCTTTCTTCCAACTGGCTGAAAAGCACACAAGATATCTGCAGCCTGAGTAGCCATCTTGGAACATGAAATAGAAGCCACCTGCTAAGGATGGCTGATCAGCTGGATGGAAGGAGCTTGCGGCCCTGATAAAGTGAAATGCTATGCCAGCCCTGAGCAGCTTATAGACTTCTTTTATAGGAGATAAATGTACTTTTATTCAAGTCATTATTTTAACTTCTCTGTCACACATAGCCAAATTTCACCCTAACCAGTATGGTAGCTGAAAACAGAAACCAGAAATTCAGATGACTGACTAACTCTGAGGCAGCAGAGCACAGTGGTTTGGAGCATGAACTCTGGAACCAGTGTGTCCAGGTCTTGAATGCCACCTCCCACTTACTAGCTGTGAGACCCTGGGCAAATTAGTTATACTGTGTGCCTCGGTATTGTCATCTGTGGGGATAACAAAAGTGCCTACCTCCGAGGGTGCTGTGAGGATTAAGTGAGTTATTACTTTTAAAGCACATAAAACAGTCCCTGGCACATAGTAAGTGCTATCTAAGTATCTGTTAAATGAAATAAACACATTTGGAGCACAGCCAAAGATGACAAGACCAAGTACAGTGAGTCTGTGGGCCAGTACAACCCACCACAGCATTTAGGAAGTGATCCTCTGCTCTAAACCACATTTTCTTCAGTGGGAGCAGGATGGTTAACCTTAATAAGTTTTGTCAGAGCATATGTATTTTGACCTCCCCTCTAAGAAAGAACAGAGGCCAGGAAATTTTAGAGACTGGGATCCTGCAAAATCACCAAGAAACATGCCCACAGTCTATGTCCTGAGGTGGTAGTACTTTATTTACCTGCCAGGGAGAATTGAGAGATCATATTACTCCCACCTGATCACTGAGCACCAGATCACTTCTCAGCTAAACTGACACACTTGCAGAGGAGCTGTAACAGGGTCATGCAGAAAAACAAAACCTTCCTGTTGCTCCTGTACCTATCAAAGATAATCAGCCAACAAGCTAAAATAAAAACCAAAAAATAAAAGCCACTCATATCTTAGATCTCACTCTGGTTCCCAAATAATAAAGATGAAAGCATCTAGCTAATATTTAGGCCTTAACACACCCACCTTTCTTTTCTTCTAGAAGTGATGGTTCCCCTTCGAGCTTTCAATTTAACTCACTCTTCCCTTATTTGAGGGACTTGGAAAGACCTATTACTCTCAAAGCTTTCCCCAACTCAGTTTATGTTAACTGAGTTGATGGCAGAACTGCTCTCTAGTTCTTGATGATAATTCAGGGACGACAACATCTAGGAGAATAACCCGATCATTTAATGACCCTAACCAAGAGCTACAAGTCAGAGCGCATCCCAGCCACTCAGCATTGCTATCAAAACAGCACATCACACGTCTAAAGAGTTCACACAGAAGAGATGCAGGGCAAATTTGAGGGAGCGTTGACACCCATCATTTTAATAAGCACAACAATAGTACATTTTTCCAATAAACTATTCTGGCCCATCTGAGAACTCTGACAGGAAAGACTTGATATTTTCTGAGCCTCTAATATTCCAATGATATCTATGGTTTGATCTAAATGCCTTAAGTTCCTCTGCAGTTCTCAAAAGGACAAAGGTTCACATCTCAGCTGCCCTGACCACTCTAAGCTACATCCCATCCCATCCCCCTTTATACACATGCAGGGGACAAAATAAAGGTGAACAAACACTCTGCCTTAGCTAAAAAGCAAACTGCTGATAGTCCTGGAAGAGAAATGAAAAGTAGCTGACAGTTTCATGTTTCTAAAACTCCACATTCTAAACTGAGGAACCATAAAAAAGGATTTGAAGCGGGGCCGGCCCGGTGGCGCAAGCGGTTGGGTGCGCGTGCTCCGCTGCGGCGGCCGGGGTTCGCTGGTTCGACCCGGGCGACCCGGGCGCGCACCGACGCACTGCTTTGGCAAGCCATGCTGTGGCGGCGTCCCATATAAAGTGGAGGAGGATGGGCACGGATGTTAGCCCAGGGCCGTCTTCCTCGGCAAAAAAAGAGGAGGATTGGCGGATGTTAGCACAGGGCTGATCTCCTCACACACACAAAAAAAAGGATTTGAAGCATTTCCCAGAAGCGAGCAATAACCAGGACAGATGAAACTGGTGAGTCCACCCACTCTATCACCAACGTCTGCTAGGAAGAGACCTGGAACGGTGGTAGGAGACAACCCCACAACACAGAAGGCTGGAAGTGAACCCTCAGAGCCCCCGATGGGTCACCTGTCCTCCTCAATGAACAGCGACAACACTGGTTGGGTCCAGAAAGAGAGCACAGGCCCAAAGCTCAAATCTGTAGGTCAATGGCCGAATAGCAGACTCAGTAGTTTAAAGCTAAGGAACCTACTAGAAAGCAGCATCTCCCCGCAAGTCTCTGTCCAGAGGCCGGTTGCCCCAACACAACGACGGGCCCCTCGCCCGTATCTGGTCAATTTCCTCTTTTCATTTTCCGCTCGCTCCTCCCTCACCAAACAGGTTCTGATTTATTTCTTCGTTCCGCAGAGTTTCTCCATCTCCAGTCCCCAGCGGCATTCCAACATCCTGCCAAGGGCTCCGCACTGTGAAGTTTCTCCCTTCTGCAGCCTTTCAACCTCCCTTCTCCCTCTGGCTGTGTGAAGCCCCAAACTCCCCGGGACAGGCCCACCCTCCCCGAAGCCGGCGACCGCGGTCCCCACCCCGCTCTCACCCCCTGAGGGTCCTTGACGAAGTAGCTCCCGCTGGAGCCCTGGTAGATGCGCTCGGGGAAGATGCAGCGCTCGATGGCCAGCTCGGCCAGCCGCACCACGGCCTCGAACTCGGGGTCCTCCGGGAACTCATTCCGCTCGCGGTGTGCCTGCGCGGCGTGCGCCGCCGCCACGGCCTGGGCGGCCAGGGCTTGGGCCTGCGCCGCCACGGTTTGGGTCTGGCACTGGGCCGCCGCGCCCCGGGCCCGATCCAGCAGTGGCTGCCGCTCCCGGTCGTGGCCTGGCGAGCCCGGCGGAGAGGGGGCCTGGCCGGCCGCCGCCGCCAATCGGACCGCGGCCCCCGGCACCTGCGGAAAGTGAGCGCCCGAGCTGGACGGGAAGGTGTAGTCCGGGGGTTGGGCCCGCTCGGGGGACACAAGTGGGCTCGTCTCGTCCATCCCTCAGGCCGCGGGCTCCGGGACCCGGGGCACCCCGCACCGCTGAGCTCGCGGCCGGGACCAATCCGCGACGCCCCCAACCCCCGCCTGGCCAACCAGGTCGCGGCGCCGTTTTGGCCCCGCCCCTACCGCTCATGTTTACTTGGCGACGAGTAGGCACGACCCCTTGAGCGCGAACGACAGCCAATCGGAACTACCGCCTACGCAATAGCGCCCTCCGCATTTTTCGCCCGTCACCTTCTGTGAAGACTGCGCATGCTCCAGGAGCCAAACCCGGGTCAGACACGCCCTCTGCTTTTACCAGCCCAGCCCCGCCCTTAGCTTCCAATTGCTGACGGGTGTTCGGCAGCCTTCAGTAAAGTAGCCTACTTAATCAGTCATTCCTTTATTGAGTGCCTACTATGACCCAGCTGTGGGACTGGAGAAATCTAATCTTTGTATCTGCATTCATTCAATCAGGCACTCATTCATTAAATATTTATTGAGCACCTACTACGTTCTAAGTGCTGGGGAGACAGAAGTGAAGCAAAGAAATAAAATCCATGCTGTTAAAAAACAAAATTCGACTGAGTAAATTTGAAAGATCCTATTGGCTTTATTCAGTGACTCATGAATGGGGCAGCATCCCATCTAGGAGACAGAAAGGAGCTCTGAGGAGCTGTACAAAATGGAAGCCTTTTAAAGGCAGAAGGGAGCCAGACAAGGAAGTTATACTAGTAAAGAGTGGGTTGGTTGTGGCCAAGTCACCTTCCTTTAGGGATGGCAGGGGTCTATCAGGCAGATTACCTCACTAGTGCTGACCAGGTAATTCCAGACTGACTGGGTTAAGATTCCAGTCAGTTAAGTATTAAGTCTCTGCTTCATGACATGGGGCTTAGCATAACTGACTCCATTTGGGGCCTGTTGTCTTGTTTTTAACACTAACTAAATAAAAAAGTTTTAAAAAACTCCAGCCCTGGTGCAACTTACACAGTGCCTGGCCCAATGCTTATTTGTTAATTGAAGAAAGATATGGTCCCATTAGACTAAAAATCCCAAGAGGTAAGAGTCCATGATTGTTTTATTCATCACTGTGAAACCTCAGTGTCTAGACACAGTAGGTGCTCAATACATTTTTATTAGCAGCAAAGAGAAGGAAGATATAGTTCCTGCCCTCAAGCTGAAGACACACAGCTCTGTGAGGCAGTAGGAGAAAAAGAGCCAACAATGAGAGCTGAAACCTCCACAAGAGGAGTTTAGTAATTTGGGGGTAGGCCGGAAAGTCAGCAAAGGCCTTAAGTGGGGCATGTGCTATGAGCTAAGTCTTAAAGGAAGAATATAATTAGATCACTGGGGGAAAAAGGGGGAGAAAAGAGGGAATCAGAGACATTCAAGTTTGAACCCCGCTCCACACATTATTTTGTATGAGTTAACTCTCTAAGCTTCAGTTTCATCATCTATAAAATGGAAATAATCATCACTTCCTCAATGGATTAAATAGAATTTAATACATTAAATTCTACATTTACTACACACATTATGTATGTAGAGCGCTTAGCATAGCCCTTAGTACATAAAAAGCGTTCAACAAATGGTAGCTTTTTATCACTGCTGAGCTTTTGATTGATACTGGTTTTGCTTTTGTGCTTAAAGTAACCAGCAGACTAAAGGCGTGAGTTTTCACAAAAGATGACCAGCCACATAGTAACCAATATTTCATAATCAGTCTTTCTTGAATCAAATGATTGCCACAGCTAACTAGAAGTACTAAATTGAAAGAACTATTGTTTAATTCTATGTATGGGAACGTCTTAAACTTTTTTTGCCAGGTAAACCATTCTAGACAAAGATCATATAGATGGTTCAATTTCCCCTTTTAGTTACAAGACGTGTATTTCCCCTTCCTATCCAGCATCAAATAATTAAGTAATATTTGCTTCTTGTGTCCCAGGGGCCATAGCCACCGAGATGATCTCTTGGTATTATTCATCTCATTTAGTCCCTAAGCTTCAAATCATGGTCAAGGAAAACCCCAAGATTTAGAGTTCTCTCTTGAATTCTGAGTTTTCTGTATGGAAAACCCTCAGAACTTATTTCTGTATCTCCCTCTTGGAACTTGGTTTTCCCTTTACTGAAAAAAAGAGTGTCAATGCATTCCCTGTTACCTATGAAAAGCTAGCCCTTACCAAATGCTAAGCATGTGTCAGGCGTTGTTTTAAGTGCATTACATAGAGTAAGTCATGTAACCAGCATTACAGCCCCTATGACGTTGGAAGCTGAGTAAAGTAACTTGCCTATGGTCATGCAGCTGGTAAGTGGCAGAGCTGGATCCAAACCCAGGCAGACTAGCTCCATGCTTTTAACACTATATTGCTTCTTATTAAATATCTCTGTGAAATGTGTCTCATCTTTACCCCCTTTCTTTCCATCTTCACTGATGCCACATTAGTTTTGAGACTCTCAGAATGTCTTAGCTACATGATTACAATAGTTTCTGAGTTTGTTTCTCTGCTTCCAATATCTCTCTGATTATCTCTGGGTATCACTGCCAGATTAATTTTCTTAAAACACTAATTTCATTGTGTCACTGCTCTGATCAAGAAACTACATTTTTTATTGTGGTAAAATATACATAATATTTATCATTTTAACCATTCATAAGTGTACAATTCAGTAACATTAAATACATTCACAATCTTGTGTAACCATCACCACTATCTATACCCAAAACTTTTTCATCATCCCAACAAAAACTCTGTACCCATTAAACAGTAACTCCCTCTTCCCCTAGCTCCTGGTAACCTGTATTCTACTTTCTGTCTATTAATTTGCCTATTCAAGAAATTAGATTTTGCAAACCATATCTTCTCCCTAATTTTTCAGGTTTTTCCATAATTTGACCACAATCTATGTAACATTACTTCTTCATATTTTTAAATACACATTCTCCAATCTTATAAGATCTGTTTTCTGGATATTCCATTCTCTCAACTACTGCAATTATATCTATAGTCAATACCACAGAGTTTAGCGTGTTTAACCTTTGAGTGTTAGAGCTAGATTGAATCTTACAGGTCTCCTAGTCCAATCTCATTTTACAAGCTAGAGTGCTTAATAACTTGCTTGAAGCCACACACAGTTGGTGGCAGACACGGGATTTGAACACCGAATCCAAGTCTTTTAAAACAATTTAAAACTACCATTTATTGATAGTTTCAGACACAGTACCGAGCATCTTACGTTGTATTCTCAGACAAGTCCTGAGGAGACTTTATCATCATCATTATTATTATCATCATCATTTCTATCCTACAGATGAGGAAATCCTAATTTAGAGAAGCAATTTGCTTACTCTCTTCACGCACTTGCCTTCTCTTACTAATGAAATATAGTCTTGGATTTTTCCATGTGCATGAATCTTTTCTTCTCCACATTTAGGCAGTAAGTCCCATGAGGGCAGTGATCATGTCTTTTCCAGCCTGGCAGAACCTAGCATCGTACTGCATTCACACTGTTCAGTAAATAAACATATGGATAAACGGATTGGTGTGCATGGTATTTGGGAGGATTTTCTCCAATCTTGGCACTGTATTGTAACTACAAAGGATCTGGGTAATGACAACTACAAGACAAATCCTTACAATGGATGCAAAAGTGTCCTCATATCACAGAGCTGGCACGGGGTGACACTCATTAAACTGCAGTTGCCCCGTCCAGTGTATTACAACGTACAAAGCTGCACCTCAAAAGCCAGGTTCCGGTTCCGTCCTTAAACTCCGCGGTGGTACCGTTTACAGCTGTGGAGACGGGGCAGGATCGGAGCCGCCCGAGGTGGTCACTGTTGCGTCTGACGCAGGTTTGGCTTGGTTTTGTTTGGGGTTGACATTTCGGCTAGCCTGTCTCTGGGTAGGCGACAGCTGAGTTCTCTCTGTCCGGGTGGCGGAGGTGGGGTTCAGCCCCACCCCTCTGTCGGACGTTTGGCCCGGTCTCTCAACACACTCCGCCCCGCACAAAGATGGCGCAGAGCCCGGGCTGGGCCAATGGGGAGTGGCGTTGCTCCCGGTTGCCTAGGTAACAGCCAATAGGCAGCGGGAATTGTGCCCAGTGCGGCTGCCCGGGATGGCGGCGTCAAGCGCAGCAGGCGCTGGTGGAGGTGGCCGAGAGGCAGGTGGCAGGGGCGAGACCGACGGAGCGGAGGTCTGGGCGGCTGGAGCCCCGCGTCGGGGCGTGACGGTCACCCTGAAAGGCCAAGCCCAGGTTGGCTGGCAGCGCGGATGGGAGTGGGCCGGGAGCGTGTGGTCGGATGAAGAAGGGACTGAGGAGCCCAGCCCGAGATGACGGGCTGGGGAGCGCGGCTCCATCCTGGACGCGCTGACCGGAGGGCGGCTGCCCCAGGGCTCGCAAACCCGGGCCTCTCGTCCCCACCGCGGGGGTTGAGGCCCGGGAGAGCCCACGGTACTTGGGTTAGCGAGCGGGGTGGGTGGGGCTGCGTCAGGAGGGGATGGCAGACCTGTGTGAGCAGAAGACCCGGCCCCAGCGAGAGAGAAGACCCGGTAGAGGGGAGGAGCGGTGCTGGAAGGCAAGAACCGGGTGGGAGAAGGAATGGGGAGTCGACAGGGAAGTGTTGCCTTGTTGCGTCTAGGGCTTTGTTTGCTCTGGGCCCGGCTCTCTCACACTGCGGTGGAGAGACGTCCCACACGCACATCGAGGCTTGGGGAATGGAATGCCTCAATTATTGGTGGTGGCATCCCTGCAGTCTAGCATCAGCAAACTGCTTGGGTACCAGCAGGAGTAAGTCAGCTATGTTAGAACCGGCCAAGGCATTTTCCTTTGCCGTGAAATAGAATAGCATCCTGGCAGTTCCCATCACCTCCAAGTCTTTTTTTCTCTTTCTTCCTTCCTTCTCTTTCTTCCTTCTCTTCCTTCCTTCCATCTTTCCTTCCTTCCTCCCTTCCTTCCTTCCTTCCTCCCTTCTTTTTTCTTTCTTCTTTTTTTACAATCTTTCTGGTGTCAGGATTTCCTTCCCACTTTCTTCAATCTAACCATCTCACAGTCTTCCTAAATAAGACGTTTATCTAGTAGCAATACGTTTGTTTACTTTTAGAGTGGAAGGAAGTAGTAAAAGAGAC